ATCTAAATATTTGTTCCCACGTTTCTTTACTTCGGTTTAAGAAAGAACAAAACACCAAATTTTTCTCTTTTGGTACTCAATTTGTTATATATTATCACTCGAACACGAAAATGAAAGGTGGAATAACAAAAAGAAAATATCTTACGTCATTTATATCATGCTATAGTATAGAAAAATAATTATTGAAAAATAAAAAATAAAAATGAAGGTAATTGAAAATTATAAATGGAATTTAAAAAAGCTATATGTGTGAAAAAAGGAAAAGGGAAAAAGAGAAAATCTTTAGCGTACTGATGGGAGGAAAGTTCCAACAAGAAATTGGCAATTTTGAAAATAAACTAATATTTTATTTTTAAAAAATAAAAAAAGAAAAAGGAAATTGATGGTTCAATTTAGGTTCCTCGTTCATTGCATCAGATTCGAGGTATGACTTCCCAATCAATCAGGACAAATTTAAAAAAGAATTATTATTTAAAATTTGACCAATAAAAAACAGAAAAGCATGGGAAAATGGGACCACAGGAATCTCTCTACAAAAATAATAATTAATAATATATATATATATATTTTAATTTTTTAGTTGGGGACCGAAGCTTATCACTTCTGGATCCAATACCTCATCCTCCATTTTCTTACAATATCCTCTTCATAACACGTTGCCTTAATGCCTTTTTTTAAATAATTTAATTTCTTTAAAATTTATAATTCCCTCAATTATTGTCTAATTTCAATCTGTTCGGTACAGAGGTTTGAAGTTGTAGTAGCCAATCTGATTGTCTTAAATCATTCCTTAAGTTAATATATAATAATTATTATGAATTATAGTGCTAACTTCAAAAAGTCCAATGGAACATGTAACAAAATGGACTCACCGGCCCATCCCAAACGCTGTAGATCCAAGTCCAATCAATTATTTAGCAATGGTTCGTTTTAGCCCGTTACGTATTGTCGAATATATGCGTTTGTTAAAGACAGGTTTTTACCCTTTATGAACAATGTGGGATCTCATAGAAAAAGAAGGTGCACCTTATTGATATGAGTAGTAAATATTAATTCTTTTAAACGTTTTTTTTATGCATTGTACCCTTAAAATCACTTTGATTCGGATATGACCTTGATTTTCTTTATGTATTCCTTATCTACTTGCGCCGGGAAAAGGATTACTTCAACAAATTTCTTGATAGCAAGTCAAATCGTTCGACGTAAGACCAGCTGCGAGATCGAGTCGCAAATATCAAAGCTTGGCTGACAATGCTCTCTTGCATGTATAGAGTAGCCATCATTTCTATAGAATGTCCATGTTAGATCTTACACCAAATTTCTCCAGATTGGGTAGATGGTTGAAAACAATCTTACTGTCTCTTTCATTATCAAAAGAATATAACAGTCATCTATGTGTAACTGTCTAAGTCTATCTCTAGTAGATATTGTCCGTTTTAGCCCGTTACGTATCGCCGTCAGCCTCACAACTTTAAAACACATCTCTTAAGAAGGGGTTTCTATACCAGATAAGGAATGTTTCGTTCTTCTCTCCAACCGTGGTAAGATTTCACAATCCACCCCTTTGGAGGTCCAACATCCTCGTTAACACACAGCCTAGTGTCTAACACTTATTCCATTTGTAGTGAGTAGATATTGTTCATTTTGGTCCATTACATATCTTCGTCAATCTCATGGTTTAAGAAATGTTTTGTTTCTCTCCCCAACCCACCAACCCACGTGAGATCTCACAATAGTAACCTCCCTCCAAGCATAACCCACTGAGATGTTCATGATTGTACCTGTATGGCAAACCATTTTTTGAGAGATCTGTAAACGGAAGGGGTTGACGGTAAGTATCAAATGCCCAATGAAGAAAAACTAAGAAGACCTGCACTGCAGCACCAATTTCCATCAGAATCAATGCAAGTTAGTGCAGTTTTCTACAAGGCGCCTTCATGAACATGATGAACACTGAGAGCTAATGTTCCTGTTTAGCAGCCCATAGGCTTGGTCATGGCGCCTTGTAGGGATGGCTCATGAGATCCAATAGCCATTGTCACTGTCAGGACAGTGGGCATGAACTTCAAATGCAAAATCATAGAAGGGCAAATCCGAAATTTTTAGTAAAACGAGGGACAATTTAGGAGAAGAGTGGGAAGAAAGACAAAGATCCAACGAGTTAAACATTGAACTCGGGTTGCGTGGGATCCGTTAACCACTCTTTGAACACCGTGGTTCAGTGAGCAAAAATCAAAATACCCTCTCGGCTTAAAGCAGAGGTAAAGCGAAATTCCTTCTCGAAATTTCCCTGCAACTCCTAAAGCCTCCTTCTTCTTTCTACATCTTCGACGCAAGATTTCACTTTGCAGTCACAATGCCTATCAACAGTGAATCTACGCCGCCTCCGTTGATCGGAAAAATTGGACCCTACACCGTGTTCATGACCCCGCCGGCGACGCCTTCCCCGGCCTCTCAGCCTCCACCGGTGTTTGAGTCTCCTAAGAAGGTCATTCAACCGCCTCCCGTTCAGCCTCCGCCTCAGCAGTACGATGAGTCTGTGCCGAATGGGAATGCTTCTGTTGCTGGATTCTTCAGAAACGCCGTCTCTAAAGTGCAGAATGGTAATTTTTATAATGCGTTGCTCTGTTCTGGAAAATGGCTCTGTGATTTGAGTTTCTTGTTTTTGCTTTATTTGAATGTAATGTTGGGATATTAGGGCACCCGGGAGACAATTTGGTAGTAAGAACTGTATTAGTGTTTGGGGAATTGGGGGAAAGAAGAGATTAAGAAAACTAAAGAAAATTAGTGGCAATTTTGCAGCACATTCAAGCTTGGATGATCATTTGGCACGCTGGTTGGGGTTAAATCAATCCAAGTATCAGTGGGCACTAGATGACTATTATGAGAGCAAGGGATTGGTATGCATCTGGTCAAATTCATAGCAGTAAACTGCATATTCTTGTGTCTTGTTTTCTGAAATTTATTGCTATTATTTCCCAAATCCTCTTATGTTCTTCCTTGACACATCCGTTGGAGAGGGCTAGACTATAACAGCCTAAACCCACCGCTAGTCGATGTTGTCCACTTTAGTCTGTATCGCTGTCAACCTCACGATTTTAAAACGCGTATGCTAGGGAGAGGTTTCCACACCCTTATAAGGAATGCTTCGTTCCCCTCTTCAACCAATGTGGGATCTTACATAGACCCTCTCCATGGTATGGTAAACACGTTTTAAAACTGTGAGGCTGATAGCAGTACGTAATGGGGCTAAAGGGGACAATATCTGCTAGCGGTAGGCTTGCACTGTTACAAATGATATCAAAGCTAGACACCAGATAGTGTGCTATTGAGGGCGTTGGGCCTCTAAGAGTGGAGGATTGCGAGATTCCACATCGGTTGGAGAGGGGAACAAAACATTCTTTATACGGGTGTGGAAACCTCTCCCTAGTAGACACGTTTTAAAACTATGAGACTGACGGCGAAACATAACGGGCTAAAGCGGATAATATCTACTAGCGATGAGCTTGAGGGGTTACACCTATCCTTTCCCATCCATATTCTATAATTTTGACCAAATGATAAACTTTTATATGAAGCAAACTTGCAAGTAACTTTGAAGTGGAGTATGTCCTAACTTATGCTACGTTTCCATGAAGTATTTCATTTATTTTCATTGAATGAAAGCATGGGATTAAGTAGTGCAGCTTATCTGCTTTCCGCTCTTGTTTTTCTATCTTGAATTCTAGCATCTTTTTTCCCAGGAAAATGGGGACATTAAAGCAAAGGAACAGTTGAGCAAGGCCCAGAGCGTGCAACAGGTGCTAAAAATTGGCTCATGCTAACATGTTTGGTTTTGTTTTGATATCAAGAATCAAAATTATCATACATTTGTAGGTACTCCCCAGCTTTGGACAGTAGAGAAACTATATACACCTTAACTAAGCAGTGGGTGAAGTGGATGTGGATCTGATTGTTTATAAGAATGCTGATGAAGAACTGGGCAGCCATCTTGGAATGTGATTCTGTCTGCCTTATACGTAAAAATCGACACAATTTGGTCGCATCGTTGTCTCGTGTTTGATCTCTCTTTTGTTCTTTTGAAGCTAAACCTTTGGCCTATGTATTTCGAATTACTTTTTTTTGGTTATTTGTGTCCTTGTAACGAAGGCAATGTTTGGCTACATCCATCCAAGTTATAGGCAAATCCTCTTAATGGGTTTTTTTATGAATGTTGTAGTTTATAGAAATGATGGAGTGCCATAAGAACATGGCGGTGGAATTACCTTTTTATGGAAGGCATCAGTTTCCTTTTAATTTCATATAATTGAATGGTGGATTGTATAATATCTTAGCTGGAGAATGATTGTCCAAGTTAATGCATTACACTGTGTCCAAAAGTGAAAGTCCAAAGACGTTGACCCCTAAAAGGGCTGGAGTGTGATATCTGATACCCGTTGGAGGGAGGAACTAAATATTTGAGGGTATGAAAACTTCTCACTCTTTAGAAGGTGTGAGGCTAATGACTATGCGAGCTAAAACAGACAATATCGACTAACAATTAGCTTAAATGGTTACAAAAGACATAAAAGCTAGTCAATCAATCATATCCTGAAAGTAGCATGTTGCTTTTTGCTATGGAAAATTATATATATATTATTTAATAATTAAAATTTATTAAATTAGAAGTTTAGCATTTTTTTTTAAATTTTATTTTGAAATCGATCTTTTTAGGCGAGTAGATCCATGCATTTTAATAAATTCTAAAATTTAGAGATTCATTTTCTCTTAAAAATTTAACATTTAAATTATTATATTAATATGTCATTAAATTATCTTTTATTGACGTATTTTAGGATATTAATATGAAACAAGATTTTTGATGGTGGTAGAGTTTTTGAGTAACATATTCATAACCAAAATATAAAACAATAATGCAATGCATATAATTTTTTTAAAATACTATATAACCAAGCATTAATAGGATTTTTTTTTTTTTTTTTTTTAATTTTTTGTAATATTGTTTTGTGTATGAGGCAGGCGGCTGAAAATATCAGGGTTTAACAGATGGTTTAGGGCTTTGTCGGTATTTGCGGGAGGAAGCATCGAGAGGAGGGACTTACCACTCGCTAGGGTTTACCAGATACTCTAGAGTTTAGGAGGAACCGAGGGATTTCCTCATCGCTGGAAGAGGGATTATCTCACCACTCGCTAGGTTTTAGGAGGAACCGTGGGATTCACCACTTACCATACTTGCAGGTACTCTCTCCGTACAATGATTTGCGGCGGGAAGAGCTACGTCTCAGCACCTCCAGCTTTCTCCAATGACGCCAAGCGGCTTCTTGTCTGCACGGCAAACTCCGTCTCCATCTTCAGTACCTCCACTGGTTTGCAGGTGAATGCTTTCGTGTTTTCCTTTGTATCCAAATGCTATATATCAATTATTGTAACACTCCATTCGTTTTGGACCAGATTACATCATTGGAGGGTCACAAGGCCTTGGTGACATCGGTCACCGTGGTGCCGGCGTCTAGTCAAGCTAGTAAGATGTTGTGCTTCTGTTGGACCACCTCACTTGATGGAACTATTCGCTATTGGGATTTCTCGGTGCCGGAGCTCATGAAGACCGTAGATATTCAGCTACCGGTTCATTCCATGGTTAGCTAGTTCTTTATCTTCTGAGTCTCAGTATTGCGTATGATTTGTTATTTTTTATTTTTGAAGAAGGCAGTAAAATCTAGGCTTTGAAATTCTTTGGTTCAATTTCAACTGCTTGTTGGGATGTGATTTTTTTCTGCTTTCCCTTTTCATTATGCAACGGTGCTTCTACTAATTGTCGTTGGAGGTTCAGACTCCATGGGGTTAGAAGATAGTGAAACTTATTTTAGAGAAACGGTTTTGTCCTATCTAATGGGAAGTAATATACCAATATTCCTGTCGCCAATGATATAAAATATTTTAGAGTCTGTTTCCCCTATTCTGCTATGGGAACTTGGAGCAAGTAATGAAACTTCATTAAATATAGACTTTGGTACTTTGGTTGACGTTTATTCCAAAAAGTGAGTTGGAACGTAGAATCAATATGTAGAATTTGGACATGGGATGGTAATATCAGTTGAATGAATGGAGCATAGAACAATGATGTGTGTGTTGCACCATGCTCTGTATTGTAATGCAGTATGTTGGTTCTTTCAGTTACTAAATATTTTGTTTTGCATGCTTTCTTTTCCTCAGGTCATCCCTTCTTTCCTAGGCCAACCGCTGGAGAGGGATTCAAAATCCCGTGATCTTTTTGCTTATGTATCAGTTGAAAATATAAAAGTGAAGGATAACAAGCCGGTGCCTACGAGCGCACAAATCCTTAAGTGTAACTTAACCAAGTCTCGCTTGGCTGCTGGGGTCATTTTGGCCGAGGTGCAAACTAAGATTCTCTTCATTATCCCTAATGCTTTCATAGTTGCTTATTAGGAACAAATATTTATTCACTTGAATATTATGTATTGTATGTATTACTCTACATGTTTAAGTTCAAGGCTATTGTCTGGGGAAGTATTGAGACAAACATGATAGGCTTGGGTAGTTGTCCTGTAAAATCAATTGAGATGTTCATATATTGGCCTAAACGTCCATGACTATAATATGGGTGTAAAACACAATTGAGATGTTCTTATATTGGCCTAAACATCCATGACTATAATATGGGTGTAAAACGCAGCAGTTGTGCATTAAATTCTAGAGTCCTATGGATGTTTTGGAAAGGTTTACTAAATCAATACATTGTTACTTGCGGCTTGAATTTGTGAATGATAGTGCTTTCCCTTTCTTGACAGACTCAACAACCTGAGTATATAACTATTAGCTCGACGGGGAGATTCTTTGGCATCTGGAATAAACGCAAAATTCATGTATGGAAGGTGCCAGAAGTGGAGTCTGAAAGTGTAGGGGCTAAAAGAATTACTCTGCATCACACAAAAGACTTGACAGTTCTTGCATTTCACCCAATCCAAAGAATGGTAGCTGCAGGTGATGTGACCGGGAGAATTTTAATATGGAGGGGATTTGGTAATCGGACATTTTCTGTTTCTGGTACAGAAACTGGCAAAAAATATTTTGAGGATGAAGATAAACCAGGAGTTAGAGGAAATGATGATGCCGATTCTTGTTCCACATGGCACTGGCATCCTGCTGAAGTGATTGTTCTATCTTTCTCCTTTGATGGGACATATCTTTATTCAGGTAAAATATTAAGACTTAACATTTGGGAATGGGAATACATCCTTGTTTTTCATAATGGAAAATGTATGTTAGTTACATGTTCGGCAATGACTTCTCATTGGTAGCAATTGGTAGGTCCGGAAAATTTTGAATAATTTTCTGGTCTTCTTGCATGAGATGGTCCACTGGGATACTCGGGTTATTTGCTATGTGTAGTTGATGCAGTTTCTCAAGTGTTGATAATGGTACAAGTCACATACATGAATGTATTGGAGAATAAAATGTATTGCGTATTCACGTTCTTTAGGGGTGACATGTAATAATTTAGCAAGTCTAAAGTTAATTACTTCCATCTTCCTGCCTTCAATATCCATGTGATGATCTAGAGTTCATCTTATTGGATATATTATGTTACACTTAATGTCAATATTCTTATCTATCCTTAATGATTGCTTAATACTTCCTGTCATATTAGATTTGATCTTCGTGACTCTCAATCTTATTTAAGGTGGGAAGGAGGGCGTTCTTGTGGTTTGGCAAATTGACACAGAGAAGAGAAAGTATTTGCCACGAATTGGATCACCACTATTGTATTTTACTGATTCTCCAGACCCGCTGCTTGCTTCCGTAAGTAGATCCATTTTTCTCATAACCCAGTATGTTTTGCCGCTGTTTTGCAGTTCATTTGTTTAAAACTGAAGCTAGGTTTTCAGGTATCTTGTGCAGACAATCAAATTCATTTGCTGAAAATGCCCTCTATGGAAATCTTGAAGTCCATCTCTGGGATCAAGGTCTGTTTCAGCCGTTTTACAATTTCTCTCTATTTATTGAAGTGGCCTTTATAATTTATAATGTGTGAGTGGTTAACAAACATTAGAACGAATGAGATTGTTTGAATAACAAATGTAGACTATGCCACCTTCCATGCCATGGGAGATATGTTAAGGGGAATGGAAGTCACCCTAGAAACCCCAAATATGAAAGCTATATAAGCATATTCTTTCATGTTTGGGTTCTTTTATGCGTAAAACAAAAGTTTTTCAGCGTTTTCTTTTTGTCAGCATTTTCTTAGTTTAGTATGTAGATTCCTTCATGTATGTTGCGGTTTTATATGCCCAAAAATTTGGCCCATGCTAGAAATATGCAGGTTTCCTGGTTCATAGTTGTCTTATATAATGATAGTATCGATTTTTTATAATTCTGTCATGCTTCCTGTCAGAAAAAATATTTCTGTCATGTTGGCTCTGTCAAAAAAAATTATTGTTCACTCTTTCATCAGGTCTGGTTGATACATTTATGTTATTGCCTTGTTCTCTTACTGCTTTTCAAGCGTATAAAAATTTGATGATTGTACAAATACATCTAATTTAATAATGGTTATATATGTTATTTGTGTTTAAATGTTCTTCAAGCCTTATTTGACTGCAACTTCTTATGTTGCATTCTTTTCAGCTTCCTTGTTCTTTTCCGGATGTTTGTCAAGGCTCTAATAATGGATTTTCCTTCGATCGAAATGGTGGTCTAGTTGCCCTTCGTTCAGAGAACTACAGCATTCAGTTCTACAGTTTATATGATGATTGTGGAATTTGTGAGGTGAGAATGTATTGATTACTTGCTTGGCTTGTGAACTGGTCAATAATGGGGTAACAACACGTACTTGTTTGTTGTGTAACGTGTCTTTCATAAATCTCTAGTTTGGCATAGGCCATGATATGCCCTTGAATGTTGGATATTTTATGCTTATTGGACTTTTTTCAACCACAAATAGTTTTTTTGTTGGGTTGGGTGTTCTAATGTCTCTAATCTTATTTCCATCAAGACGAACAAAAGAGAAAAAGGTTCCTATATAAAAAGAACTGAAGTGATTAAATTCACCTTGATCCACCAATGCCAAAGAAGACCCAAAAAGACCTCAATTATTAAAGTCTGAAAGGAAGGGTAAGAAAAATTGAGAGAAGGAGAACTGTGAAGACAACTTGAAAAAAATATTTCTTATAGAAAGTGTCATCTTAGTGTTCTGTTTACCCTTGTTTATAAAAATGAGTTGTCACCTAACTAACAACACCTCCTATTCATGCCATTTTGTACAGAGTTTTGACTCCAAATGTTGTAGGTATCAAACAGGATGTATCTTTTTGCCTGTTTATGTTTATACACAGCTTCGTGTTTATTCACAAATTCAGAACTAAGTATTCTGTTTTTGTCTCAGTATTTTAGAAGTGAATCCAAGCCTTTAACTGTTTTACATGTACTGCTTGCAGGTTCAAATTTGTGAGAGGAACCATCAACCCAGTGAAGAGCTCACTGTATGTGAACTTGATTGTGTTTTTTCATGAAAATAATATCTGCAGGAATTATGTATGATTGTGGTATAACGAGTTATCATAATTCCTGAATATTGTGGCTACAGGTTGTAGTGACTGTAGTGGCTCTCTCCCTAGATGGCTCTTTAATGAGTACTGCTGAAGTTCGAAGTCCTGAGGATGGAATTGGAGGTCTTATTTGTCTCAAATTTTGGGATTCTGAGTTGGAAAACAAAAGGTTTAGTTTGTCAACCGTTGTATATGAGCCCCACAGGTTTGTTTTTGGTCCTTTTCCAAAGCCATTTGAAAAATTATTGGAAAGGTTATTGTATTGGAGTTAATATATCTACGACAGCTTACTGATGATAAGACAATGAGGGCTAAGTTCTTGTGATCATAATTTCTTTGCACTTCCATTTGACAGGGATGCTGGTATTTCTGCTCTCACTTTCCACCCTAATCGCCGTATGGCTGTAAGTACATCATATGGTGGAGATTTCAAGGTACTGCTGGAAAAAAAAAAAACAATTTCGTATCAAAGTATTTTCTGCAGTGAAATCCATTGTTTTATTTTATTTTTATTTTTATGTTTAGATATGGGTTCGCAATGATGGACGTCAGAAAATTCAGGGAGAGCAAAACTCGAGTTGGATGTGCCATTCTGTTGGGTCTTACAAGTATGCATTATATTCATTTCTTTCAAATTTTCTGCTTAGGTTGTTGCAGTTTTCTCCTGTTTGCTGAGTTGTGGGGAAAATAGTTCTGATACTTTTTTGTATAACTGTAGGCGTAGGTTGGATTTAGAATTTTCTTTCTTCCTTCAAAAATTTCTAAACCTGAACGTTACTCTGGTGTTTGAAAGTTATGGTCTATGTTCTTCCAATTTTCTAACGTAAGATTCTGCTTTAACAGAAAGAAGTCAATGAATGCTGCGACATTTTCTGCCGATGGCTCTGTTTTGGCCGTTGCTGCAGAAACTGTCATTACATTATGGGACCCCGAGCAGAATATCCTCATTGCTGTTATTGGAGAGACTCTTACGGTACATGGATTTTTCACATATTTGCCTATATTTCCATTTAAGATAGAAAGTACCGCTAAATTTGTGCTAATCTAGCTGGTATTTCAATAGGAGGAACGTTTAGAATGCCTCTTTTCTATATAAGGGTTGTGCTTATAATTGTTATTATTTATTATTTTTATTATTATTATCATCTTTTTCTGAAAGCGCAAAAGGTGAACTCATTATGTGTTTAATCACTTTTCTTATTATTTTCATTATGTGACATTGATGTAATGTTATTTGGTGGTGGATCGGAAGCTTTTCTAGTTCTCTTGATCTGAAATCCCTGATTAAAGCTTGAATACTGTATTTGAACTATAAATTCTTTCTTTTCCTTTTTTTCTAAAAAAAACTTCCTTAGTTGATGAGGAAAGAAAGAAAATGGAAGTAAAACTTTTGATATGCTCTGCCAATGCCAAGTTACTAACTAGAAAGATTTTCTATTTTGATATTATTACCTGCATTCATCTCACTCATGAATTCATGTTTTTTTCACTTTGGACAGCCAATTGTGAATCTTTCCTTTGCCGGAGACTCTGAGTTTCTTATATCTGTGTCACAAGGTTCAAGACCACAACTATCAGTCTGGAGTATGACGAAACTGTCAGTATCTTGGTCATACAAACTTCATGTAGAAGGTCTAATACTCTCCTTTGTCCTTTTACTCGAACTAAGTATTGAAGTGTTATTTGACTTGAGCATGCGATGATCTATTCACTTCTTTGATTAGCTAAAACTGCAGAAGACTAATTTCACAAATTAGTAAGGAAAAACAAATGATCAATAAGCCTCTGTATTATTATTATTATTATTATTATTATTTTTGCTATTTGGCCATAACTTTTTACCCATAGAATGGGTCCTGATAAATGAAGACACGTTTCTTTCGGTTAGCTCCTTCGTTGGAACGTTATTCATTTCATGAACTATCTAAATAAAAATATACTTTTGTTTATGGTTTTAGAGGACGTTTGAGCCATGACCATAGAATTTGTTCTAATCTTGGCTGTCCATGATTTGCTTCTACAGCTGTGGCCTGTGCTGTGGATACTTCTTCTTTTGCTGTTCTTGCCCTTATCCCCGAATCTGTACGCTTGCAATTTAATGACTCAACCTTTCAAGGGAGAGATGGAGTGATATTGCATTTTAATGCCAATGATCCTGTTCCCCAGAATACCTGGTCTGTTAGGAAGGTAAAATATTTTCTGCATCCTTTTTTTCCCCTCTCTGAATAATTATTACTTATTTATAGGTTGTTATTTAATTGTTTTTAATAATTAATTAGTATTGATGTACACCGCAGGCTCAGGGAGGGGGTCTTGCTTTTCTTCGATCCAAAAAATCTTCCAATAGTTCAGATGGGAAATTTGACCATCCATGGCTTGTTTATATCAATGGTGACCACGAGTATACTCTATTTGACCCATCTGGCAAAGAAGTACAAGAGCTTAGTTTGACCAAGCAGGGGAGTCATCACGCCCTTGAAGAAACAGGAGGTACATCATTTTCTATTTTAATTGTATCAACAGTGTGTATAGCTGTGCTGCCTACGTTTCTCAGCTTAACAATATCCTCTTTTCTCTAGTAACAAATCCTCTACCCGGCATTGGCCTTCTATTGTTTTTTGTTTCTGGTTTTTCATTTATAAACTTTATTTTATTCAAGTGTGCAGGCGTAATGTACAAATGTATTTTTCGGGAAGGACCTTTGTGTTCCTAATATTTTGGTGCCTCAAAAGTACAAATCTAGATCGAATTGGGATTACAAATAGCTTTTTGTCAATGCGTTATTACTGGTTGACTGTTCAGGAGATTCATGTGCCATTTTCATTTTTGTGGTTTGCATAAGTTGATTTCTTTGAACTCCGCATTTTATCCCATGGTTTGCAGATTAGACTTTTACTCAGCATTCATTTCATTTGGAAAAATCATGTCAATCCAATGGTGTTATTAATCTGGGAAATTATTACAGGGAAATTTGGATATCAAGCTATCTATGGCGAACTACCAGAATTTGACTCAAAGGTGGATCAGACCTTGTCTGCCCCATCTGTTCCATCACAGAGGCCTTGGGAGACCATCTTTAGTGGTTCATCACACGAACTTCCCCCTCTGAGTAAGCTGTGTTCAGCATTTTTAGAATCATTATTGGAGAGGAGGACCGTTACTTCCGAGTAATTTTCGGAGTCAGGTATCTTATTAACTGAAAGATGTCACAATTGTTGCTTCTTGAGTTCCTGGATTTGAATCAGATCGATACAATCCGAAGATAGAATTGGTTGGCATCAAAACAGAAGCCTTTGAATTCCCGAATTACATTCTGAGTTTACAACATGAATTAGCTAGCTGTCTTCATGGTGCAACAATCAGAAGGTAGCATCTTCTGTGGCGTACGTTGAAAGATCTTCTAAAGAAAAGATTGGACTTGCTTCCAAAAGAGAGTAAGAATCATCGGAAATTTTTGTTAGGTAGTTTTTGAGTGAATTTTGATTTAGAAAGAGATAATTTGAAAATTTTGTAAATTAGAGTTGCGTTTTCAATATGGTAACACATCCCTTTGGATTATTGGGAATCCTATCTTGAAGTCATATATTATGGAACATAACTATAGTGGTAATGTTAACTATTTAATTGAAATATTGACGATGACCGAGTGTTACCAGATTATACAGCTATATTTTACTTATGTTTATGTGGGTGACTTCCATTATAAGAGTAGCCTTCTTTAACCCACTTTTAAAGTCATGTGGTGTGGTCTTTCAATTCAGTACACTGAATTGCATCGAGTTCTGTACAAACGAATTTTCCCCAATTCAGGCAACTCTATTCTCTGTTTATTTTATCATTTATGTTGGTATGTAGCCGTTGAACCAGTCTTTTTTAGGTTAAACAACTCCCATGCTTTTCATGCCCACCTCCTCCACCCATTGCCTTTTCATCCCTTTTCCCCTCTCATTATTATTATCTTTTTATCATCCATAATCTTAAATTTATTTATTTTATATAGGTGAGAATTCTCTATATAGCTTTGACCGGTTATGAATCGCATTAGCTCATAGTTTTAACATATGTGTCTGTTAGGAGAGATTTCCACAAAAGGGGTACTACTAGGGTTCAGCGTCCTTGCTCGCACACCACCTGGACCACTAACATATATAGTCGATTTAGCCTGGTGCGTATCATCGTTAGCTGCATGGTTTTAAAACGAACCTGTTAGAGAGAGGATCCTTCATTCCCTTCTCCAACCAATATGTAATTTCACACTATATATAAGCTACATTTTGGTCATCCATCTCACTCCCAATTTTGACAGGATGATTTAAAACAGCTTTGATTTTGATACCCCAATTTAATTTTAATTATATTATATATTCCAACAAGGAAAATCAGTATGAGCTAAAATTCAAATCATATGTGTCATGATGAAATTATTGTATTGTTGCTCAAAATCCATAATTAAGTTAGTTCCATAGGATATAACCATTAGTTATGGGTCAATAATTGAATGAGTATGTTAATTAATTTACCAAATCATAGAATATGGAGGAGTACTGATAAAGAAACTTGAACTGACAGGTTTTATATCTTCATTGGTTATAATATTATACATTTATTTTAATTTTGGGGTAAGCTATAATATATTATGCAATGATTAAAAAAAGAAGAAGCAAACAAATTTACAATTCTCAAGTTGTGTAAAGTAGGGCCCTAAACCTGCTCACATGAATAACAGTACATCACCTTTTTTTTCCTTTTTTTTCAAAATTTTGAGAATCCCAGCCGACAATTCTGGGTCATGAGATATGAAAAATGCACTTGTTCCATGAACCCCACCGATGAATTCTTATAGATTTAAATGCCTGGCAGCCCACATTTTCATCCACAAGTTTGCTGTTTTCATCCATCCCTTTCAATCATTTCTGATGGTTCAAAAGCTTCAAGTAAATTTAACAACAAAAGATTCCTACTGGCATTCAGTCTCGTAATGATCGACCTATGAATGAGTTCAAGTTGTGTCGGGGTGTTGATTCGTCAAAATTAACCATTTCTAAATTCAGAATATGCAGAATATGGTGCAGGGGATCATTATTATGTTTTTTTTTTACAGAACATTTGCATTATTATCAGTTCAATCTACCTGAATATGTACACAGTTTACTCTCTATTGTGTGGTTTGGACATTGTTTAATCAAACTTGAAGCTCTGAAGGCTCTTCAATTCTGCCCTACATTGAATTATTATGGGGACTGGATGGAGAAGGAGCTGTCCCATTCATATTCCAACTCCTCAAAGCCCCAGAAATCATCCTTCTCTTCTACTTCTACCTCTGGCATTTTCCACCTCTCGGTATCGACATACCGATCCTCCATAATGTCGAGTACCTGTCAATATCGAAAACAGACCATTCTGCTTAGCTTCATGTTTGCTGGCACAGCCATAAAAAGGGTTGTCACATTTGAATCCACTATTCTTGCGTTGTAATTTAATATCATGTATGAAAATCTCGAAGCTATATTGTGAGATCCCACATCGGTTGGGGAGGTGAACGAAACATTTTTTATAAGGGTGTGGCAACCTCTCCCTAGCATACGCGTTTTAAAAACCTTGAGGGAAAACCCGAAAGGAAAAATCCAAAAATGACAATATATGCTAACGGTGTGCTTGGGCTATTTCACACGTGACGAAACTACATTTCTCCTTTTTTTTTTTTTTGACTGCTTGGAGATCACATTCACTAAATGAATGAACAGTTAGAAAGAGAAAGTCAAGATCAGATCCTCCATTAATGTGATTTTAAGCATTCTTTTAATAAGCTAGTTGCCAACATTAATCACATGTGATTGCCATATCCATATTTCCTCAAAATCATCACTACAAGGAATCCAATTTATCTACTTCTAATGAGAGGACTGTGACATTCAAGATCATAACATCTAAACTACTGTTAATGAAGAATATTCTCTATAAGAATCTTAAGTTCAAGAGTCCAAAAGAAAAATTCTATCCATAACATCTAACTAGTTCTTGTTCGGGACGAAATAGCATAAGGATTTCGACATTATCTAGAGTAGGATGATTCATTTGATGATGATTTTGGTGCCATGATTAGAAAGCTTTATGGCTATAATACAAAAAAGGCAAGCTTGCAAATATATAGATTAATCTTGCAAGGATAGAGTTAGGTACCTCGGTCATGGTGGGTCGCCACAACGAAGATTCTCGAATGCATAGAGAAGCTGCAAGGGAAAATCTTTTCAGCTGCATAACGTCGTAGGCACCCCCAAGTCGTGGATCTACCAGCTTTTCATACTCTGCTCGATTCAATATCGGTTTGGCCTGTGTTTGCTTAGAGTTAGTGTATGATTAAAGCAGCACAACCACATGGCCAAAAAGTCAATTTATCAACAACTTGGTTAAGTTTTAACTCCCAAATAAACCTACCACTGATTTTAGAAACAAAACAAGAAAATAAAGTTTAAGGTTATTATCGAAAACAAAAGGCGAAAACGTTCGAAAATCGAAAGAGAAAGAAAGACGGGAATTCTTCGAAAAGACTCCCAACCAATTACCATTTTCTTCATTGAATCAAAGAGTTTGATAGAGAAACAAGCCATGGAAATGATTGTTCTTTCTTGAGGATGAACTTATAATATATATATATATATATATATACACATTGATCAAATAATTTAGCATACCCAGCTGTGTAAGCTTTGGTGAGATCCATCAACAGGCTTTCTTCCAGAGATTACTTCTAAAAGAAACACTCCAAAAGCAAAAACATCCGTTTTCTCATCTACAATTCCATGCATATAGTATTCTGGAGCCAAGTGCCTGCAGATGATCAAAACCCTCTTATAAAGAACTATCTTTTCTAGTTAATTCGATCCAAAAAAGTGAAAGGTTGCTGCCATTTACCCAAAGGTTCCTTCAATAGGAGCAATTGAATGATGAGACCACTGGGTTGGAAGCCATTTAGCCAACCCAAAGTCTGAAATCTATGAAACCAAAAACCCAAGAACACTGTGATTTCATGCAAGGAAAAGGAAAACAATGCTGTGAAAATTTCAGACAAGAACAGTGGATGAGAATGACAAACCAGAGGTTCAAAATCTGCTGTCAAAAGAATATTTGAAGACTTAATGTCTCTATGAATAATCCTCCTCTGGCAATCCTTGTGCAAGTAATGAAGGCCTCTGGCTGTCCCAATCGCTATCTTGTACCTTGTTTTCCAATCAATTGGACTCAAATTGTCATCTGCAAGAACAGGAATTTCAAAATTGAAGCTCATTTGGCAAATGGGAAGCTAAAATTTTCAAATGGGGTTGTTCAAAAGAACAAATAAATTGTTTACCATGGAGAAGAGAAGCCACAGAGCCTCTGGAAGAGAAGCGGAAAATGAGATAAAGGCCATTGTCAATGCAGCAACCTAAAAGAGACAGAACATTTGGGTGTTGGACATGTCCTATGGTTCCAATTTCAGTAAGAAACTCCTTTTCTTTCCTCTCGTCAATGGAGGTTTTCGTGAGTCTTTTCACTGCAATTTCTTCACCGTCGCTTAAAATCCCTCTATAAACCTCTGCATAGCCCCCTTTTCCGACCAAGTTATCTAAGACCCACATTGAAAAACAGAGACCTTATACGATGTAGATTGAAAAAAAAAGAACAAAAACCAAAAACTGGGGGAAACCCTTCTTTATTTTTGTCTTGTTTTTACAGTACCTGAGCTCAATCCATCGGTGGCTTCAAAAATCTCTTCATAAGAGAAGCATTTCCAAAAGGGTCTTCGAGAATGATGAGGAACAATGCAATCTCTGTTCTCAGGGACATCTGGGTTCGAGGATTCGTCTCCTAAACTGCGTCGTTTGAGAGAGAAGAGTCGTCTGAAGCTGTTGCTCCTAATGTATTTCATTCTTTGCGGAGTCGGAAGAGAATGGTCCGAACTCATGCAAATCACCAACAATAAGAAGAAGAAGAATAAAAAATAAGAACAGAGGATTGAAACAGAGAGAAGGAGAAGTGGGGGTTGAGAAAAAATGAATGTAAGAAGAAGAAGAAGAAGGAGTGGGTGTATGGCAGTGGATGAAGCGTACAGTACAATGGGTGTGAGAGTACGTGTGGGACTCTCCATGGTTTTTAGACAGATTACTGCCATTGTCTGTTGTGCTACACCTGTGTTCTTCCCCCCACTTTTTTTTTTCTTTTCTTTCATGTTCTTAATTATGGTACTGATCAATTTAGTATTACTTTAAGAACATCTTACACTTATAAACTTAAACAAAATTCAAAATTTAAGGTGTAATTAAAACTCTTATAGATACAAAAAAAAAAAAAAAAAAAAAAAAAAAAAAAAAAAAAAAAAAAAAAAAAAAAAAAAAAAAAAAAAAAAAAAAAAAAAAAAAAAAAAAAAAAAAAAAAAAAAAAAAAAAAAAGAAGCTAATTTTGCATACATTAATAATGATGAGATCGTATGGCTGCTTTTGGATTTAAGACTAAACCTATCCTGCTATGATTCTCAATTTAATAAACTGAAATTTATATGGAAAGTATATATCTAAATCAATTAAATTATATTAAAATAATATTTTAATTAATTAAGTTATAATTAATTTAAATATTAACTAGACGAAATAATACATTAATATATATATATATATATATATATATATATATATATATATC